CTGAATGCATGAATATTCTGCAGCTGTTAGCTGTTTAATTTAATGAATTGCTTGCTTTTAAAGACTGAAACCTCTAAAAACAAACCCCTTGGTCTTCATTTAAGACTGAGAAAATGCCAGATGCATAAAACCACTGACACTTAAAGCCAAATTAAACTACTTATTCCTCCATTTAATTATTGGCTTTTGGGTTTACAAGGTGCGCTTGAATGCACCGTTAATTTAACAGAGTATTTTGAGAGTTGGCTGCTTGAAATCCAATGAACTGAAGCCCAGATAATCCAGGCATTACTTACTGTGAGGTTGTCTGGCAACTAGAGGAGACTCTGAAACACGAGAATGCAATTGACCTTCTAATCAAACTCTCTGCAGTCCTGCTGCACTATTATTCCCCCGTCACACAGACATGATACAATAGTCCATGAAAGAGACAGCAACTTACGGGTTGTCAGGTTTGAAGATGAACATACTGTCTGGGATCACAGAGTTGGCCGGCTGCGTCTCTTCTGATTCCTCCTTCTCTGACTTACACTGTTCGGGGTCCTTACTGTTGACTGCAGGAGGTCAAGAGAAGGAGATTCTGTTTTTATCACAGCCCACTAGGACAGCATTAGCCTCAGAAAGCCAACCTAAAAACTAAAAGCTCAGTTTTCTGTGGGGACTTTTAACCAGAAAAATCCAGCGAGAGGTGATGAAGTCTAGCAGCAGTAAGCTGTGAACTGTGGGGCCTGGCTTAGGTGATGACATGACTCACTGTTTCCTAGAATGCTTTATCTCTGTAATAGATATGAGATCAAGCACGTCCCTATAACTGCATCCTTACTCAGAGCTTTACTAGAACATTTCAAAAATGCTTTTTTGAAGTTTATAATAGCTGCAGATCATCCACCTGTGAGAATGGAAACCAGTCCCACGTAAACGATCACTGATGAGCTTTCAGACGAGGCTGCAAATACGAGCAGCCTCGTCACAAGCCATTAGAGAAAACAAGAAATTACCTGAAAATCACAAATCTACATTTGGTCCATTACCTTTGATTGTGGAGAGCTCGAGAGATGACTGCACATTGGGCACTTCGATGATCACACTGGAGCTCAGCTGAGATT